TGAGGTGAGTGAGGTTCTCACCTTGGGCAGAAAATTTGAAGGGGCACCAAAAAAACCAATCAACAAGATAAGTAACATTTAATGCAACATCTAAAAAATAAAAATAATATGTTATCTATGATAAACAAAACATCAAGATTTTCAATAAAGACAGGATCTGACAGTGCCATGCCAAGAAATACCAGAGCCTGAGGCAAAAGGACAAATGTGGGTGGACAAAAAAATGTTGCCTGCCATTTCCATAAACAAAGAATGTTGCCCACCATCAAGTCATCAGGCACTGCAGCTAACCCCTGCAGTGTGCCCTGAGGAAAATTCAGGGTGGAGAAAAACACGATACTGGCCCTAGACAGTTAAGATTCATATCTAAGGAATAACTTCAGTGAACCCAGACTCTTGCATCTTCCCATACACAGAAAAGCACTAAAATCGTTAACTCGAGATGTCTGTTTTTCATGACTGGCAGTAATCTTTTGATGCTTGACTACATGTTTTGTTTCGTCTTCAGCAAAAATTCCCATTCATCTGGGCTCTTCCCTTTCCTCTTTGGAGCAGTTCCTCAGAGCTATCTGAGAGGCTGTCTCCCAGGCTGTAGTCCTCAGTAAGTTTCCCAAATAAAACATAACTTGCAACTTTTAGGTTGTGTGTCTTTCTTCAGTCAACATGTGAATCCCTGTATATACCTTTTAATATATTTTAATGGCTAGTTTATTCCAGAACATTAAAGTAGTTGAAAAAATATAGTAAATTTGAAAAGTAGATATATTAAAGTTCACATTAAGTTTAAATATTTCGCTTGTACCCCAAACAGCATTTATTATAATTTTACTTTCTGGCTTTAATGAAAACAAATTCATCAATAATATCTTCATCCAGGGCTTCCCTGGTGGCGCAGTGGTTGAGCATCTGCCTGCCAATGCAGGGGACACGGGTTCGAGCCCTGGTCTGGGAAGGTCCCACATGCCGCAGAGCAACTAGGCCAGTGAGCCACAACTACTGACCCTGCGCGTCTGGAGCCTGTGCTCCGCAACAAGAGAGGCCGTGATAGTGAGAGGCCCGCGCACCGCGATGAAGAGTGGCCCCCGCTCGCCGCAACTAGAGAAAGCCCTCGCACAGAAACGAAGACCCAACATGGCCAAAAATAAATTAATTAATTAAAATACAATTTAAAAAAAATGGTATCTTCATCCATCGACTGATGAATGGATAAAGAATATGTGTTATACATATACAATGGAATATTACTGAGCCATAAAAAATAATGAAATAATGACATTTGCAACATAGACAGACCTAAAGATTATCATACTAAGTGAAGTAAGTCAAAGACAAATATCATATGATAGCACTTATATGTGGAATCTAAAAAAACGATGCAAATGAACTTATTTACAAAACAGAAACAGACTCACAGGCATAGAAAACAAACATGGTTACCTAAGGGGATAGTGGAGGGGGAGGAGAGATAAATTAGGAGTTTGGAATGAACATATACACAATACTATATATAAAATAGATAAACAACAAGGACCTAAAAAAATAAAGACAGGAAAAAAATCTTCAAAATCTACATCTGGAGTAGTGAGAGAAGAAGCTGAAGTGTAAGCAAAGGCAAGCTCACAGAGGATGTTAATGAGTTTGGACTGTATCCTAAAGGAATATTGACCTAAAATGAGAGGCCTTGGGGTTAGACAGAGTTTATTCAAATCTCCACTCCTCCACTTATTAACTTAGTGACTTTTGGCAGGTTATTTATCAGCATTAAGGGTCTGTTTCCTCATCCATAAACTGGAGATGATAGTACTTACCGTAAAGGACAATTGTGGGAGTGTAAATGCTTCTAAAGTGCTTAGCACAATGCTTCCCATTTACTATGCTCTTGATGCATGATAGCCATTATTATGAATATGGCTGTGGGGAGCCACTGAAGAACTTTTAGCTACAAGGTGACAAGATCAGTTTTGTACTGGAGAAAGATCATTGTAGCAACAGTGTGGAGAATGATCACAGGAGGCAAGACAGACAGAGCGACTAGGTAGGAGATAACGAAGAACTAAAGTCATTGCAAGAGAAAAGAAGAGGGCCTGAAATAAGGGCCTGGTGAGAGGGCTAGAGAAGTGAGGACACACTTGAGATATACTAAGGAGATAGAATTAAAATAATGAGGGGGAGTAAGGAGGGCAAGCGAAGTTTGGACAGGTGGGTGAATGGTAGGGAACATAGAGGAGGGGGCAACTTGGGAAGGATGGTTATTGGATGAAACAATTAAGATTAGGTTTGACCAAATATAACAGAAAATCCAGGGCTGCTGTGGTAGCTCCAAGAAGTCATCAGGGATCCAGGCGTATCTGTCTACTTTGCCATCTTTAGCATATGGCTTCCATTGTCAAAGTTACTTCAAGATCCAAAGTAGCTGCTGGAGCTCCAGAAATCATGACTGCATTCCAGACAGCTGGAAGGAGGAACAAAGAGAGGAAAGCAAAATGGTGTAGCTTCCAGCTGAGTCGGTCCCCTTTAAGAGACTTCCAGAAGGTCCTACACAACTTCTTACATATCAGAAACCAGTAACACTGACACATCTAGATGTAAGACAGATTGGGGAATAAGTGTCTTTTATCTCAATGCATTGACATTCATGATGTCAAATGGGAGTTCTGTTACTAATGAGGTAGGAGGAGGGCAGAAAAGGGAGAAGCCTGCAAGATGGAGTGTGAGACTGAGAACTCACTCCCAGGAAAATCACCAACTTTCCTCGTGGGGGAAGGAGGTAGTTGAAGAATATTTTAAGATGCAGAATGGATTAATACCCAATTTGAGGATATTGTACATCAGTACTGTGAAAATTACTCAGATAATCTTCCACCCCACCTCCAGCTTCTGTGACATTTATTACAATGGTGCAGGAGTATTATAAATAAGGTTTTTGGTGGATATTAAGGGTCTACATTTCCCATTTGGGTTGAAACAGTGTAGAACTGAGACAGCAGCTCAGAGATGATCACAAGAAAAGAAGCTGCCTGGAGCTCCCCGATATCCCGGCAGGGCTCGGGACTTCCATGTGGAATGTGGAATATGGTTTTGAGCCTGGCTCTCTCAGCAGGCTACCATTTTTGCTGCAAAGGAGCCATTCTGGTCTCACACCTGGGGATGAGTAAGTAAGATGAGAACGGCTTGGTCCCAAAGTTCTGTACCTGCTCCAGTTGGGTCAGAATTGTTTTTTGTTCTAGAATCACCCAGACTCAGGACTGTCACTGGCTTGGGGATCTTCCAGGGCTAAAGAGGAGCCCTGCCCTGGCCCCTTAAGGCCAGCCAGAACCAACCTGACTTTTAGGTATGGAATATCTGACCCCTGTGGGACTAGGGGTGGATCTTTGTGTCGTCCATGTGGTTGGAGCACATAAGCATTTATGAGGTAACCAGATGGCAGGAGGATAACATTGTTCCTGGGCAACCTGGCTTCATTACACTCTATGGCTTTGGTCAAGGTACTACCTTGTGCAAAATTCCTTTAAGTCTTTCCTCACCCCCCCTTTCTAACTCCCCCTTCCTGTGCACCATGGAACCAATAAGCCCCCTTCCAACTCTAGCAGTCTTGGTATCCTAGTACTGAGTAGTGACCAAGGACTTAGGGTTTAGTTTCAGACAAAATCAGGCACCATTGTGTGACCCTAAGCAACTTCCTTTGCCTCTCTGCGCCAGTGTTTGCATCTGTAAAATGGGTGGTGGCTAACTATAACTGTCTCTTAAATGAACTAAATGTGGTAATACACTCAGGGGCTTAACGCACTGCGATAGCTTGACAGTGACTCTTTATCTTCCAATCATCTGGCAAGTTCATCCCCCTCATCATTCCTCAAACCGGCTCTTTTTTTTTATGTCCTTCTCGTTTAAATCTCGAATATCCGCCTAGGTAGTAAAGTTAGTCCGCATCTGACTCCTTTTTTCTCTGTCCCTCCTTCCCAGGGCCCACCCTCTGCGAACGCAGAGCGTCTGCTGGTCAGATTGATGGTCGGCGACCGCGGTCTCAGAGGCAGTGCAATCTTGTCCTCGGCTTGGGAAGTCTCCGAACGGCAAACTCAGATCTTTTGCGGCGCTGCCCGGCGGGGAAAGCCGCCAGCCCATTCTCAGGGACGGGAGTGGAAGAATCACACTGCAGCAGGGGTAAAAGGGACCGCGGCCAATGAGGGGGCATGGGCGCATCAGAAGGTAACGGGATGACCGCAGTCAAGAACGCGCCGCCACGACGTCTCCGCCCGGCCTCCTTATCCTCCAACCGGTGGCCCCAGTTATCCTCCCAGATCCGCGCAGCGGCTTCAGAAGCGACAGCCACGTGTATCGCGGGGGACTGGAATGTTGGCGTGGGGGCGGGGTTGGAAGGGCGCCCGAGAGGTGAAGAAGGACCCGCGTACGCGTGCCCGGGCGCCGGCTGCCAGGCGACGCCGCCGGGAGCGAGTACGCTCCTGACGTCACTCGCCGTTCGTCCAATGAGCGGCGGCCAGAGGAAGGCGCCGTTCCGCTCCCTCCCGCCCCCGCTGCCGCCACCACAGCAGCCGCCTCCGAGAGCTTCTGAGGAGGCGCGGGCCGCCGCAGGCTGGGGCGCTGCAGTGCGCCGTCCGGAGCCCCTGGACGACGCCCAGGGAGCCGCTCGCCCAGACCCCGCCGCCCGATGTCCTCAAGATGGAGGCAGGGGGGAGGGCGCCGTGAAGAAAGCGGCGCTGTGGGCGCGGGGGCCAGGGCGCGGGCGCTCCGGGCGGAGGCGGTGGCGGGATGGGGCTGCTGCTTGTGATCCTGGCGTCGGCCGTGCTGGGCTCCTTTCTCACGCTGCTCACCCAGTTCCTGCTGCGTTACCGCAACCCTGGACGACGCCCAGGGAGCCGCTCGCCCAGACCCCGCCGCCCGATGTCCTCAAGATGGAGGCAGGGGGGAGGGCGCCGTGAAGAAAGCGGCGCTGTGGGCGCGGGGGCCAGGGCGCGGGCGCTCCGGGCGGAGGCGGTGGCGGGATGGGGCTGCTGCTTGTGATCCTGGCGTCGGCCGTGCTGGGCTCCTTTCTCACGCTGCTCACCCAGTTCCTGCTGCGTTACCGCAAACAGCCCGAGCCGCCGCCGGACGAGGCCGCCCGCGCGGCCGACGGCTTCCGCTACATCAAGCCGGTGCCGGACCTGGCCCTGAGAGAGTACCTTTATGGCGGCGGCGGGGCTGAGGAGCCCTCCGGCGGGCCACCCGAGGGCGGCACGACTCCGGCCCCCGAGACCCCCGCCCCGCCGACGCGGGAGACCTGCTACTTCCTAAACGCCACCATCCTGTTCCTGTTCCGGGAGCTGCGGGACACCGCGCTGGCCCGCCGCTGGGTCACCAAGAAGATCAAGGTGGAGTTCGAGGAGCTGCTTCAGACCAAGACGGCCGGGCGCCTGCTGGAGGGGCTGAGCCTGCGGGACGTGTTCCTGGGCGAGACCGTGCCGTTCATCAAGACCATCCGGCTCCTCCGGCCCGTGGTGCCCTCGGCCACCGGGGAGCCCGACGTTCCTGAGGGGGAGGCGCTGCCCGCCACCTCCCCCGAGGAGCTGGCCTTCGAGGCGGAGGTGGAGTACAGCGGGGGCTTCCACCTGGCCATCGACGTGGACTTGGTCTTCGGCAAGTCCGCCTACCTGTTCGTCAAGCTGTCCCGGGTGGTGGGGAGGCTGCGCTTCGTCCTCACCCGCGTGCCCTTCACCCACTGGTTCTTCTCCTTCGTGGAGGACCCGCTGATCGACTTCGAGGTGCGCTCCCAGTTCGAAGGGCGGCCCATGCCCCAGCTGACCTCCATCATCGTCAACCAGCTCAAGAAAGTCATCAAGCGCAAGCACACTCTCCCGAGTTACAAGATCAGGTGAGAGGGGCGTGGGGGGAAGGGTCGCTCGGCCGCGGGGGCCTGGCTGCTGGGACCCCGGGCCTGGAGGCACGCTGCCGCCTGCGTGGGTGGGAAGGGCAACGACTGAATCCCAGTCCCTGCTTTCCAGGGCTCTTCCCAGCCCTGGACAAGGCCCCAGATAAAGGCAGGAGGTGCCAACGTTCTTTGCTTCCGAAGGGCCTTAATGGGAGCTAGAGACCTCTTCGTGTGTTCTTGGGCATCCAAGGTGCTGTCAGAATGGGTCGAAGCAGCGTATTGAAGATGGAAGGGGAGTCCACCCTGCTCCCCGGGATGGCTCTGGGACTGTTGAGAAACTACTCCTATCCGTGGTTGCTGCATTGAGGGCAGCTTTGCAGCATCACCTTGGCCACGTTGAGAAATTGTTCCCGGACACAAAGTACAGGCGTGAAGAGTGTGCTGGTAGCCCAGGGCTGTTGTATTTTGCAACTGCAGGCCCGTTTTGCTGTGCTGCTTCGGCAACTTTCAGGGTAGAAGGAGTGTGTGTGTCTGTTTCCACCGCAGATTGGAAACGAGCTGGGAGCCTGTGCGTGTTGTAGTTCTCTGTACATTCTGTGTTAATGTCATCTGCCCTTTGGGGGTAGGTTCTATAGCACAGACGCAGACTGCCCCTCATGTTTCAGCTCTTCCTGGCTCTGAGTTCCTCCCACAGTACCCGAAATGGCCCTGCAGATAGTATTTTAAAGATTGGTAGTGATTTTAACTGTTTTAAAGTCTCCCTATATCTGGCGGTTTGATTTTCTGTAGTATGCTATTTTGATTAATGTACAAGGGTTTGGTTTTTTTTCTTTTTTTTAATATCATAGAAGTGGAAGGGGAAAGAAAGTTTTGTAGGGCTAGAGGCTTCATCCACTTTGGTCTGGGAAGGCTTGTCGGTGTTGAAAGGGTCACGTATGGCTATTTCTTACAAAACATGAATTTTTAATTTTACTTTCTGTCCTCCTTTAATTTTGTGTTCATTAAAATGTTTGACCCTTTTAGATTTTGTTCTTTACTATAAAATTATGTAAATCTGGTATTTGCCTTACCTAGTTTCCTTTAGTGAAAGTTACATGTTTCTAGATCACTGATTTTCTACCACAGTTTCAAGCATCAGTGACCCAAATAATTCAGGAATATTTGATGTTTGGGTTTGGGATGGAGTATTGACTTGTGTTATGTGGCAGATTTACCTTAGTAATTGTGTTTTGTTTACGCTAATAGCACAGAGTGACAGCTTAAAACCGTCAGGTGGCAGGAGAAATTTATAATGGAAAATATTTCCATAGATTTGCAGAGGATGGTGAACTGGTCATCCACTGTTTGATTTCCTGTTCTGTGAAGTAGAACATAACTTTATGAAACCTACTCTTTCAGCTCTGGAATATAAGTGACTAAATTATAATTGAGTTCTAGTGTTTAAGCAGTGAGATGTTTATAGCAGTGTGTGGCTAAGAAAGTCATGAGAGAAAGTTGTTACAGATTTTGATAATTCTATCACAATTTCAATTCTGATGTTTTCTGGGTAACTTTCAGGTGATAAAAATTGACTAAGTTATGATTTGGGGGTTACTTGCAGGATAGCCAGTGGTAGTGAGGGTACATGTCATTTTGAGGTGGTTTTTTTTTAATGTAGACTTGGAATTCAGTTAAATCTGAAGGAAATTATGATTAGAAGTTATGGAGCTATTAATAGGTTTATTGCTTTGAAGGAACTTTATCATCTGTATCATTGAATAGCATCATCATTTAAAATGTAGCAAAATTGCTTTTATTTACTGTATCCGAAGGGATTTTTAAAAACGTAGCATGCGTGTGTTTGGTTATGTATGATATTTCAACTTTTAAACCTTAAACATTAAATGATCACCTCCAGAAGTATACACACTTGTGCTCTTTATATTCGAAGGCATTTCAATGGCCAATCAGTAAATACTGTACAGAGCATATCACTCAATCTGTAAATATTTATTGTACACCTGCTATGTGCTTATCATTGTTCTAGGTGCTGGGGTTTCAATACTCGACAGTCTGAATCCTTATGGAGGTTGGAGTTTAGTGAGAATTGAATTAGCTATACTTAATAAGATTTAAGGGCTTCCCTGGTGACGCAGTGGTTGAGAGTCCACCTGCTGATGCAGGGGACACCGGTTCGTGTCCCAGTCTGGGAAGATCCCACATGCCGCGGAGCGGTTGGGCCCGTGAGCCATGGCCGCTGAGCCTGTGCCTCTGGAGCCTGTGCTCCGCAACGGGAGAGGCCACAACAGTGAGAGGCCCGCATACCGAAAAAAAAATATATATATATATATAAGATTGAAACTAGAATGTGATTGATGGGGTTGAAGTAACTAGGAAGCTGATTTTAGTTTAGTAAAAGAAAATGATAGAAGTGTGAGGATGAAAAGGGCTGCTTCGAGAAGTGTTGAGTTCTCTCATCTGTGTGTAGCTGTTCTGCCAGGAATATTTTAAAGTACTGATGTTGTGGTACAGATTCAAGTTTCAGCTGTGAGAATGAACTAAAATACATTTAAGATATATCACAATTCTCATCATGAGAATTAAAGTAGCTATGGTTTATCCTTTTCTATAGATCAGGGGATAGTGCCCAGAGTTGTTAAATAACTTGCTTAAAATCACACAGCTGTTAAGTTCTGATAAAGTCAAGCTGCCCTTTTCCCTTAAACTCTGCTGTGTTGTTCTTAAGGATTTTTTTTTTTAAGTATGTCATCAAAATATGTGGGGGTAGCCTTCCAAATTAACTGAGAACTCTGAGTATGACTATAAAGCTTTTTTTTTTTTCCTTAAAAAAAATTTTTTTGGATACTTTGAGAAATGATCCTTTTAAGGTTAAATCATAAGGTTAAATCTTTGGGTGCTGCCCCACTTAGCATTTCTTTTTTAATCCAGCAGATTTTATTTCTAAATAGAAGGTCTTGCTAGTTTATCCTTTTTAGCTATCTAATCTACTTAGAACTAAAGCAGTAAAGAAAATTGTATTGAGTCTTAGGATCTTTTGGCACTTGAAATTATTATAAAACAGAAATACCTTGCCAATTAACATTGTTGTCACTTCTTCCCCCTCTTCATTTGTTTTTTATTTTCATGTTGCTAAAGTAAAAGTGGCCCATCAGGACTACCCGTTCCTGATGTCTCATAAAGAGATGAGAAGGGAGCTCAAGTGATTGGTTGCTTTCTGGGGACCCAGCTGATAGACATTTACCCAACTGACACAGTTTGTAAAGCGTTATAGTATTTTTTAATAAGTATACATTTTCTACATATTATAATTCTAATTTTATTAATTTTACTAATATTCTGATTTCACCACCTCAGTGTTCATTGTTTTGACTTTTTTCTTGAAATGTATACTTTAAAATAGTAAAAGCCATAGTTTTTTAAAAATTATTATTAGTCAAAAATTAGTCTTCAAGAGAGAAGGATGGGCTTCCCTGGTGGCGCAGTGCTTGAGAGTCCGCCTGCCGATGCAGGAGACGCGGGTTCGTGCCCCGTTTCGGGAGGATCCCACATGCCGCGGAGCGGCTGGGCCCGTGAGCCATGGCCGCTGGGCCTGCGCGTCCGGAGCCTGTGCTCCGCAAATGGGAGAGGCCACGACAGTGAGAGGCCCGCATAACGCAAGAAAAAAAAAAAAGAAAGAAGAGAGAAGGATTACCACCAGTGTTCTTGACTACACAGAGAATCCATCTTCAACATGAAATCTGAGTAATAGTCCTGAGGAGTTTAGGGTTTGGGAGTCAGACATTTGAGATTCTTACTGATGCTTCTGTTCCTTGGGTTATTATTGCTGTGTAGTTAGCAGTCGTTGCATACTGAAAGGCCAGATTCAGTTTGTAGGTACTTTGAATTGGGCCTGCACTGTGGTTTTCTTATTTCTTAATTGCCAACATTTAAAAATGGAAAATTTTGCATGATTTGGATTTCTGGCTTTTCTTAGGAAAATTTGGAAGATCTGGTAGCACTAGGCCTGCATTTGTCCTAGCAATAATAAGATGGAGAGATGGAGTCTAGTAGCAGCTGCAGGAACCTCTTGTGTGTAGCTTATAGTTGCCACCCACTTGCTACATTTACTGATGGTACTTGGCTGGCCTGGCAATATAAACTTGAGATGCTTACTAAATGAGGAGCGTTACTGTTGCTCTTCATCGAAAATGGGAAGAGTTAGTTAATGGCTGGATAGTAGAGGGTGGTAATTTCTGTCCCTCTTTAAACATTATATCTTTGAAGAGACTTTCACTGAGCAACTTTATTTTATAAAAGACATTATCATTATAATGTTGAATGTTAAAAAAAATCACTCTGTTAGAAATCTTTTAAAAATCCCTTGAAACATTTTTCGTTTCTCTGCAGTACAGTGGTAGTAAGTAGACAGTGGCTGCTTTTACCTTGAGTTTGGTGGACTTTTGCTTTAGTGCAAGGTTTGGGTCATTAATTAACTATATATAAGTGTTTACTTCTCTGAGTTACAAATAAGGGGGCATCTACTTATTGACACCATTTGAATTTAATGAATGAGTATGGAACAAATATTTGGGGGAAACTTCAGGTTCACGGAATGTCTTCTGAACATGACTGTTTTGTCATAACTGTTTTGTTCTTTTACTCTTGAAAATATTCCAATATGTATTTGTAGAAAACTTTCACATATTCTTAGTGACTGGAGATTGAGGAGGCGAGGACAGGACTGTATTTAGTTAGATAGGGTCTTTTAGCATCTTTATCTACATCTTCTCTAAATATACCATTAATTTCAGAGAACTAAATTAGGCTTGGTCTGGAAAGCCTCATACTCTGTAATGTGGCTTGTAATTGTGTTATTTCTTCCTTGGTCTTCTGAGATGAGGAAGAAAAACATTTATTCTTAATGTTAATTATAACATTTTAAATTTTACTGATTATTTGAGGTAAAGATAGTAATTGATGTCTTCTTAAAAACTTTAAAAGTAAATTCGCTGAAAGCTGACAAA